GCACAGCCACGATAAAACCAACGGTAAATAAAAGTTAAAATTAATTAAAACAAATTAAATAATCTGGTTGAGAACATAATTAAAAACTAAAATTTCTCAATTAAAATTCAAATTTTTTGAGGTCAGCCCAGCTTGCTGGAATAAAAGCGTCTTGAGGGCCCCGCGAAAGGTCGGGGATCCTCCGTATCTCCGGGGGCAATTCGTTCCAAAGGGCAGGTGCCCCCACAGAGAAAGCTCTCCCCCTGGGGGTCTTCTGCACATGCGCAGATCACCCATGGTGACGTCATGGTAGGTGGGTGAAATTTGCTACCAGTTTTACTACCAGTTCTATAGAACTGGACCGAACTGGGAGCAACCCACCACTGGAGGAGAATGTTAGCCCTCTTCTACTCTGCTTTGTATAGTGCTTTGGTTACTACCTTTCCCCCCCTAAAATAAGACACTCCCTGATAATAAACCCAATCGGGCTTTTGGACGCATGTGCTAAAATAAGCCCCCCCTCAAAAATAAGCCCTCCCCAAAATATTTAAATGCATGTGCAGCCGTCCCCGCCATTTCCTCTGGTTAGGGTTAGGGAGACAGAGCTGGAAATCAGATAAGAGAGCAAGAGGAGTCCCATCTTGCTCCGCGTGCCCCAAAATAATAACACGTCTCTGAAAATAAGGCCAAGCACTTATTTCGGGGTTCAAAAAAATATAAGACAGGATCTTATTTTCAGGGAAACACGGTACTAGATAGCACCAAAGAGATACAGCTTTAGCTAATTCCTTCCATCTAGTGCAGGGCTGTCAAATGCGCGGCCCGTGGCCCAGATGTATCACATGCTGGCCCCGCCCCCACCCGGTTCAGCGAAGGGGAAAAAAGTCCCGCTACATCATGTGACGCCATGATGCCGCGAATTTGATACCCCTGATCTAGTCGTCATGTGGATATTTGCAGCCCAGCTATAATAATCCACATTTCTAATACCTCCGATTCAAGTTTTAGCAACCATCATCAAGAGTAAGAGCTTTTGATAGCCCATAGTCCTCCATGAAATTGCTGCCCAGGACTATCTCCAAGGACAACAAGTTCCATAGTTATATGGCAGTGTCGTATAAGGACTGGAAAAAGCAATCTCTTTAATTTGTCTCCTCTGTATATGTATCCACAAGAGTTTCTTCATCTGAGTCCTGTTTGTGCATTTGTTAGCCAAAATGTTTAATAGGTGACTTTGCTGAATCTTCTGGTCATTTCCTGCTGAAGCCATCTGTTGTTACAAGCATCCATTTATTGAATACGACTGCCTGGAGAAGCAATGTCTTTATGTGTATGGCTTTCACACAACTTTGCATCTCTCTCTAATTGCTGCATCCAGGTGTGAGAATGACGGAGATATGGCCTTGGGACCAACTTGGGCTATGAGTGAAAATAAGAGGGTTGTATTTACCTCCAAAGTTCTGTAGAATTCATTGCCATGCTATGTTCAATAATCAATAGTTTAAATGACTCAAGTTTTGCTTTTCAAGGGTGAGTCTCTCACCTTTATTATATATTCATAACAAGCACGAGAACACTATGCCCAGAGCCATCATATTTCTCCTTAAAAGATCACACTAGAATAGAATAACAGAGTTGGAAGGGACCTTGGAGGTCTTCTAGTCCAACCCTCTGCCCAGGCAGGAAACCCTACACCACTTCAAACAAATGGCTATCTAACATCTTTTTAAAACTTCCAGTGTTGGAGCATTCACAACACTGTGAAGTTGTTGTTGAGGCAAGTTGTTCCACTGATTAATTGTTCTAACTATCAGGAAATTTCTCCTTAGTTCTAGGTTGCTTCTCTCCTTGATTAGTTTCCCACCCATTGCTTCTTGTCTTACCCTCAGTTGCTTTGGAGAATAGTTTGACTCCCTCTTCTTTGTGGCAGCCCCTGAGATATTGGAACACTGCTATCATGCCACCCCTAGTCCTTCTTTTCATTAAACTAGACATACCCAGTTCCTGCAACCGTTCTTCATATGTTTTAGCCTCCAGTCCCCTAATCATTTTTGTTGCTCTTCTCTGCACTCTTTCTAGAGTCTCCATATCTTTTTCATATTGTGGCGACCAAAACTGGATGCAGTATTCCAAATGTGGCCTTACCAAGGCATTATAAAGTAGTATTAACACTTCACGTGATCTTGATTCTATCCCTCTGTTTATGCAGCCTAGAACTGTGTTGGCTTTTTTGGCAGCTACTGCCCACTGTTAGGGTTGATAGTGAAAGACTATTTCATGCCCAGGTTCTGATCTTTGGGGTGGCTTTTGGAGACAAAATGCTTATCAAAAACATCGATACTCAACCTGATACTTGGAGGGAATAGGAGAAGGGAGATAAGTGATGTCCTTAGGAGTTGTGATGGCACAGTGGTTAAAATGCAATATTGCAGGCTAATTCTGCTGACTGGCAGGAGTTCAATCCCGAACGGCTCAAGGTTGACTCAGCCATCCTTCCTTCCGAGGTCGGTAAAATGAGGAGCCAGATTGTTGGGGGGCAGTATGCTGACTCTGTAAACCACTTAAAGAGGGCTGTAAAGCACAGTGAAGCGATATAGAAATCTAAGTGCTAATTGCTATTGCTATGTCACATGTCACACGTCACACTGCCATTGTGTAAATGATGTGAACTATGAAATTTAATCAAATATTTACATAACTTGCATGAGGATATTACAGTGCTGACATTATATGCCCTACAGATATTGCCTCACTCCTGCCCAAGAGGAATCATGCCGTCTAAAACAGGGCTGCCAGCAAGTCACATGGTCATGAAAAGAGTAGAAAAGTAATTATGTTTTGTTGCTGTTGTTCTCCCAAAGCAATCCTTTTTCCTGCAATTGCACTCCAGGTGTTTCATCTGCTGTTAAACCACCTAGCTCCACTGAAAATTAAAAGGCTTCCCGGCAGGGGTGGGATTCAGCCAGTTTGGACCAGTTCGGCGAACTGGATGCTAATTTTACATCTGATTCGCTGAACCGGTGCCCCCCCTCCCCTTCCAGGAGTCTCCACGTGGCCCATTTTGGATGCCAGGTAAGTGCAGCACCCACGTGGAGGCTCTGGGAGGGCAAAAAACGGGCCTCCCAGAAGTTCCAGAAGTCAGGAAACGGGCCCATTTCCAGCCTCCGGAGGGCCTCCAGAGCCTGGGGGAGGCTGTTTTTGCCCTCCTGGAGGCTCAAGAAAGGCCTCCGGAGCCTGGGGAGGGTGAAAAACAGGCCTCCTGGAAGTTCCAGAAGTCAGGAAATGGGCCCATTTTCAGCCTCTGGAGGGCTTCCGGAGCCTGAGGGAGGCTGTTTTCACCCTCCCAGAGGCTCAAGAAAAGCCTCTGGAGCCTGGGAAGGGTGAAACACTCCCCCGCCATGGTGCAGGAGGCTGAGTAGGTTATGCCCACCATGGCCACGCCCATCCAGCAACCTGGCAGAGAACTTGGCAGCTAAAAATTTTAAATCCCACCCCCGCTTCCCGGGTTCCTTAAGTGGAGAAGTCCTATACAAGTGCAATCTCATTTGCTGGTACTCTTGTATTCCAAGTGGCAAGCAAAGCCTCACTCAAACTGTGCATCATAACCAAAGGAACAACCCTAAGTTACTTCTGAAACCCAACTGGTTTATTAGAGGCCGGGTGTTCTAGTGAAACAGGTCCTCCCTCCATGTACTCATCAAAGAGTGTTATATCATGACAAGAGACTGACCTTAACCTTCTGGAACTCCAGATTACATCACTACTACCACCCCAAGACAAAAGATTTAACACGTGACTTCCTCTTCATGTCAGGTCCTTAATGGTCTGAGTCAGTGTGATGGAATGTACACCTGCAAAAGTGAAGGGTGGGGGGTGGGGGGGAAGAGATTTTTGACAATCCAGAGCCTTCCCAAAAAGAGGGCCGGATTATGAGAATGCACAGTCCCAAGCTGGTTGAGACAGGGGGAAGGGATTTAGGGTAGTCACACCTTAGAACCTCTCACAGTTTAGAAAGTTATAGCTTTAGTTGGGCAAGATTCTGTCCATTAGGTAAAGGTAAAGGTTCCCCCATACATGCGTGCTAGTCATTTCCAGCTCTAGGGGTAGTGCTCATCTCCATTTCTAAGCCAAAGAGCCAGCACTGTCCGAAGATGTCCCCGTGGTCATGTGGCCAGCATGACTAAACCCTGAAGGCACACGGAACACTGTTACCTTCCCACCAAAGGTGGTCCCTATTTTTCTACTTGCATTTTTTTACGTGCTTTCGAATTGCTAGGTTGGCAGAAGCTGGGACAAGTAATGGGAGCTCACTCTGTTACGCGGCACTAGGGATTCGAACCGCTGAACTGCTGACCTTCTGATCGACAAGCTCAGTGTCCTAGCCACTGAACCACTGTGTTCTCTCCATTAGGTGCAAGCAAATAAAGGATTGGACTCAAATGGAGCTCATTGTCTTGTTTTTGGGCTTGGGCCCGACAGATAGATGCATGATGGCTACCAACTGCTGAGCTGGAGCAAGTAACAGGAGCTCACCCTGTCACACGGTGCTTGGGTCTTGAACCCAGGCTATCAACTTTCCAGCTGACAAGCTCAGTGTCTATAACCACTGAGCCATTTCACCTCTCTTAGTAAGTACATTCTTAATGGAAAACAAAATTGGAAATGTAGTACTGGCTATCTATTGAGGATCTGAAATCATTTGTCCCTTGTTTAAAAAACTTATACACCAAAGTTTCTAAATATGAATGAGACAGAATTGAAGAATTAGCAGATGCATTCGCACCAGTAGTCTTAGCTATTTTGGGGGCTCACTATATTGTGTGGATAGATTCCATTTGGTTCATGTTCAATGATTTATGTGAAACTAGAATAATGAACAAATTCAGTAACCAGGTTAATATGCTGTGATGGAAGATCAATTTGTGGTGTGTGTGTTTGTGCTTTTTTAAAGAAATTGAAAACAAATCTGATCAAATAGGGTATTTTGAGGGAGAAGAAGTCATTACTGAGAGCCAAGCGGATTGAAATCGCAAAGGTTTAATTGCGTACCAAATCACACTGTTTTGAAGTCCTGATTACACACCCAGGAATTTATTTGCCTGAGGAAAAAAATGTTGCATTATGGGTTACAAGTTCAAAGATTAGTTTCACTGCTGCAGACTTCTATAGCTCAGACAACACGTGCACATTTCATGGAATCTTGTAACACCATAAAAGTTGTTGACATTACATAATGGGGAATAAAGAATTACTCAGCTAATGGATGAGCTCGGCAAATCCAATGTGCTTTCTCCTTTTGAAAAAAAAAAAAGGAAACAATTATGCTTCCAAAACATTTTTAAATCATTGTTTTGTTTGCTAAAAATCTGTAGAATGCTAGAGAGTGATCAACAAATACCTTATATTTCACCCTTGGGGCTGAATTCAATACCAGAAACTGCTAAGACCATCCTTATAGATATAATTTAAGTAAACTGTGATTCTTGGTAATTAGGCAGAGGAGAGATTGGCAGAAAAATATAATTGTGCTCGTTACAGCCTCAACATTTTTAACCCTCATGATAATCTACTGGATCTAAAATAAACCTTTTCTCACCTTATTGTTTTCAAATTACAGTGGTACCTCAGTATTCGTCCTTAATTGATTCCAGAAGGCACAATGAATACTAGAAAGGATGAGTACCAAACAAACCATGAGCCTTTGTTTCAGCTAGGAAGGACTTCCGATCAGTCAATGATCTTCCCAGCATGGCCTACTTCCTGTCCACCTTCTTTGACTGTCCCCTACTTCCTTTTGCATCACATTGAGTACCAAACAAACACTGAGTATCGGGACATTTTTGTGTCAAAATGCGTCGAGTATCAAATTTGATGAGTTTTGAAGCAGTTGAGTACTAAGGTACCACTACACATAGAATAACTTCTGTTCCACAAATAATCTATCTTCATTCCACTGTACACTTTTGCTCAACCAAGTAATAATGCAATGGTTCTTACTCATATATTACCCACATTTTACTCAGGTCAGGTTTATCCTTGTTTTAATATTTTCTGTGCTCCTGGCAAGCTGTCCAAAGTTTCTCCTTGCTATTCTTAAATAGCAAAGACCTCCTTGCTGTTCTTAAATAGCAATCAACTATGGAGCTCAATATATCTTGAAGTCTTGCCAGAGCAGAAAAGTGGGACATGTATCAATCAAACTAACAAAATACGGACTTTGAAAATAAAATTAAATATGACCATTTGCAATCTCTCATCCTAAATAGACTGCCTTACAGCTGTTATCTTCTGGAGAATAACCTAGCTTCTCCACAATATAAGGCTGGCCTATGCATGCTTCTAATTTGGTTCCCCTTCAGTGTGTATAAAAGTTTGTTTAAAGTATATATTTTTTTCAAAATGCTATTGGGGAAAAATTATTCTGAAATGACTAAGAAGAAATAATCTTCACCAGGAGTAGCATTACCCTACTGTACATACCTTTTTCATGGCTTCTCAAGACTAAAGGAATTTTTTCCCCAAGCTAAATACAATACCACCTAAGCTTATTTTGAACTGCAGTGCCCGCCCTAATTGCATCTAAGCCATCTCTTCAGATCTTTTCTTTGTGATGGTTATACCCAGATTTGGACACTGTGAAATACAAGAAGAGTACTGCTCACTTTCCAGTTAATAAAAGAAATAATAAAATATAACATAGCCATACTACAATACACCACTAGATAGAATATATTTTTATCTTGTTGTCTAGTATTTTTTTTTTTGTTTTGAAATGTCCCATAAAAAACAAACAAATGAAAACTGTTGGAAGTAAAAAATGAAAAAAAAAAAAACCTGTGTGATTTTCTTTCTTTTAAATTTTTCTTTACAGTGATATGGTAGCAAATGCAAGAAAAATATGCATAATAAACTTGAACGCAAGAGGTTATCTGGTCTCATCTCTGCCAAGAGGGCTCAGGCTGGAATAGAAAATGAAAAAGAGTTGACAAGGTTTTATAGATCTGGGATTCCCCCCCACCCTCTTTTTGGCGATAGCTTTGGTAGATAATAATCCATGAGTAAAAGATACTGCAAATTAATAAACCTTTCAGTGGATATGTAAAATGCCGGAAAGGAAAGCTTAACCCTGAGTATGAAGTCAACATAAATGCTATTGCCTTAATCCAAAAATTTGAATCCTCCCAAAAATTCAAAGTTGTGCTCATATCTCAATAAAAACAATTCATTACAAAAATGTCTTATTGATTTCAGTGGAATTTAAACGAGATTATTTATACTCCATTAGATTTGGGCCTAGATGTTCAGCAATGGGTGTCTTTGGCTTTCCCCTGTGTTTGTAAGATTCTGTACCTGCAAAAGATTTCTGGGTCATGTCGTCCATCTTAGTTTCAGTTCTGGTAAACAAATTGAGTCCTTACCTTTCACCATCCCCCCCCCACACTCGAATTTTTCCCTCCCCTTCTCAATGCCTATGTGGAACTTAAATGGTCCACATGAAGACATGTGACCAGGCTGGAGGACTTTCCAAAACAGATTTGTGCTGAGATGATGATTCAATCATTAACAAGGCTTGGCAAAGGATCACACTGAGCCCTGTTTTGGCTGTAGAAAAAGAAAAAAGAGAAGGAGGTGGAGGAAGAAGAAGAGAAGAAGAAAAATAACTAAGTTGCAGCATAAATCAAGATCATATAGATGGCCAACGCAAACCATAATTCCCTCTCTCATTGTCTGCATAAGAATATCATCACAGTTGCATATAGAACAGCCTTTTTCGTTATTGCTCTACTTCATAAAAATATAAGGAACTTAGAACAGAAACATTACAAACTTAAGGTTCTTTGGTGAAGAATGGAAAAAAACAACAGTATTTCAGCGGTAAGTCAAATCCTAGAAGCTAGGGGTTGCTCCTATCTGTTGATTCGTTGGATCCTTTCACAAAGAAGAGACAAGTATTGGGTCAACTTGACCATGGCAACAATGACAAGTCCACCTATCATCATACATGTTGGCCAAAAGAGTGAGTGGAACAGCACATTGGAACTGTAAAGTTTGGTTAGCAACACATTCTTTTGAATGCCTTCTGGGTCACAGAAACAGGTAAAGTGTTGATACTTCTTGAAGTTTTCCATGACGACATTCACAAGGGACAAAGACTCTTCAAAGTTCTTTCCACACTTGGGTATATAAGAACACTGTAGGGACGGAAAAAGACAAATTAAAAAAAGGGAAAGATAATGCATTCTGAGAGGAACAAAAGCTTCGAATGTTTCATTTCAAGCACGATATTAACTGATACCTCTCATTTTAACTCCTTTTTACGACCCTGTAATACCTTAATTCGGGGTAGAGTTGTGGTGACCAGTAAATGAGAATTTACTGGCCGGATGCCCTTCCTGATACCATATGGAGTTCACAGCATATTTTTTTTTCATTGCCCCCTGGGAGTGAAATATCTGCCACTACCTAGGATTGAACCCTCAACCCTCAAATGGGAGGCGAGTGTCTTCACCACTAGGCCACCACGCCAATCACATCTGTCATTTTAACTATAGTTAAAACTAAATATCATTTTTTAAAAAATTTCTGAAAATGATACTGTTATGAAGAATTGCTAATACCTCCTTTCCTAACAATTATCCTCACAATGTGTTGGACTGTACTTTCTATAGTCATTAGACATCATGACTACCCAATGTGGGAACTGCACACACAACATGTCCCATATACACATTTCATTTCAGGGAGTGATTTCAATGGTAGACATACCTTTTATCTGGGTTTTCGGAGTCGTCAAGGCAATAGTGCAAAACGTTGGCAATTCTAATGATACATTATACATAGAAACTGAAAGCACATTACGTACATAACACAATTCTTAATTTACTTAGATTGACCAAAAAGGGTATTAGAATTTTGCTGCACATAAATCTTCTTTCTCCAAAGTACCACTGTAAATATAGTCTGCTCTTAAATGGAGTTTTGATATCTTTTCTGAGAGGCTCATCTAGAATGTTGAGAACATGAGGCTCAAAATGTTTCCTCTAGGGCAATCTGCCTGTCAACAAAATGGCTGCCATGGTGGAAATGGCCAATCAAAAGACACCCATGAAGGTGAACTAGTGAGGCATCTAGTGAGACCTTAATGAAGCCTCAATGCATTACTACAAACATTGTGTTTTCCAATATGCTATTTATTGAAATAGCACGTTGGAAAGAATAGTATATTTAAATAGGTGGATCACAGCTAAAGTATGAACTAGCAATGTGCTGCAATTGCGAGTTCAGCCAAAAGTCCTGGGCTGCATCAACAGAAGGATATAATTAAAATCACAAGAAGGGATAATACTGCTGTCAACGGTCCAACTAACGAACCCAACAAATGTAGATGTTTTCAAAAACTTTGAAATCCCAAAAGCAAAACTTTATTGAGTATATCATTTCGGCACTGAAGAATGCAAAACCAGCTCTAACTTTTCCAGTGCAACTCTACATAGTTAAAGAATAGAGTTCTCCCCTCCGCCCACTGGACAAGTCACATTGTCTAATTATGAATCGTTCTTTTCTTTTGAGAACAGTTCATGTCTTGGCCGACACTTGCAACTGTGTCTTTGGTAGGTGCTTGGCTCTCATCGTTGAAGTCTGGAGCCTCTGCATTCCCTCTTCCCCTTCCCTTCCACCAGTTTTTTGGCAAGTTGAAAGGTGGTAATATTCACAGGAAGCATAAGCGAATTTAGTCTTGACAACTGCTTTATAACACACTATGTGACATCACACCTGGGAATATTGTGCACAGTTCTGGTCATTACAATTTAAAAAAAAAAGATGCTAAGGCCCTAGAAAGTGTGTAGAGAAGAGCAACAAAGATGATGAAGAGTCTGGAGGTTAACTCATGTGATGAAAGGTTGAGAGAGCTACTGTAGGCATGTCTAGCTAGCTCAGTGATGGCTAACCTTTTCCGGACTGAGTGTCCAAAGTGCGCACATGCGCCCGAACCCCCAAAATGCAACATGCCCCGCACGTGCCCCCATGCATGTACGTGCCCCAGCACATGCCCCCCCTGCATGTGCCTCACCACTCCACCCCCGCCGCCCCCCACACATGCGCGACAGAGACCTGACAACCAGCTGGCTGGCGGGAGGCACATGCGCATGCGTGGCAGAGCTGAACTGAGGTAATGGCCAGTGGTGGGTTTCAGCCATTTCTCACCACTTCGGGAGAACCGGTTGTTAACTTTCTGAGCAGTTTGGCAAACTGGTTGTTGGAAGAAATCATTAGGGCAGAGAACCAGTTGTTAAATTACTTGACTCCCACCACTGGTGATGGCTCACGTGCCAACAGAGAGGGCGCTGCATGCCACCTGTGGCACGCGTGCCATAGGTTCGCCATCACTGAGCTAGCCTATCAAAGAGAAGGATTAGAGATGGGGGGGACATGTTAACTGTCTTTCAGTACTTGAGGGGCAGTTAAACAGAGAAGAGGAGATTGAGTTATTCTCCAAAGCACCAGAGGGCAGGCCAAGGAGTTATAGGTAGAAGTTTGGTAAAGAGAGATCCAACCTAGAAGTAAGGATATATTTTCTGACAGTGAGAACAATTTATCAACGGAATAGCTTGCCTCTTGGGGTTGTGAGTGCTCAATCAATGGAAGTTTTCAAGAGTAGATCGGACAACCATTTGACTGGGATGGTGTAACCTGCCTTGAAGAGGGGAGGGGGTTAGACTAGATGACCTCAGAGACATTTCTGCCCTATGATTCTATTTTCTAGGTTCTAAAAATAATCCCCCGTGCAAATCAGGTGAGGCAAGAATCGTGATAACACAAGGAATATGTCTGAGGGACACATCCTACCCCAATCTAGAGCATTCACTATATTAATGCCTTTTCAGAGTTACAAAAAGCATCTATATATATATTAATTTGATTTATATGCTGCCCTTCTCCGGAGACTCAGGGCGGCTTACAATGCGCTAAGCAATAGCCTTCATCCTTTTGTATATTTATACAAAGTCAGCTTATTGCCCCCACAAACTGGGTCCTCAATTTACCTACCTTAGAAAGGATGGAAGGCTGAGTCAACCTTGAGCCTGGCAAGATTCGAACCTGCAGTAATTGCAGGCAGCTGGTCTTAATAACAGGGTGCTTTAGACCACTGTACTACCAAGGCTCCATGAAAGCCTTGGTAGGCTCCATATGAAAAACAGGAAGGATTATTCATTCATATTCACTCTCATACTTCTTGTTTGAGGAACAAACTGGATTTAGAGAGTGTATGTAAACCAAAATGCAATTTTGGTCTCCTCAAATCTTAATCAATCAAGTACAGTCTCCAGCTAATGAGACACCTTTGGACAGTTAAAAAACAAGTTCAGAGAAGAATCTGGAGAAGCATATAAAACAAGGGAAGAACCAGTATTCCTCCCAGAGCAATAGCAAAGCAGAGATTTATTCCTTTCTGACGCCAAGCATAAACCAACCAAAGTCTGTAAGAGAGATATTTCGGTAGGAATGAATGAATTTCTTGTAAAAACTGACACGGCGGCTAAAGGAAGAAGAGTCCCATTAGATTAGCAGGTCTTAAATGCTCGCTCCTTCATTCATGAAGGTCAAAATGCATTCTTCTGCCAGTGTGACTGCAAGAGGCAAAAATGAGCTGTAGAGTTCAGCACTTAGGCACCTGAAGATGGTGTGATCAATGAGCAGAAAAGACTTCATGTTGACTTTTGTGGACTGCCGCTACTAATATTTGGGGATGTATCACTATTTCTCCAACAATGTCAGCGACATCACTGGCTCCAAGACTGCTTCTTTAAAATTGGGAATAAAGTGACAATCAGGGGGGCAGGAGTGTCTTTTTTCCTATGTCGAATGTGAAAAGGATGGCAATTGATTTAATGGAATAGATCAGGGGTCGGCAACCCGCAGCTCTGGAGCCGCATGTGGCTCTTTCATCCCTCTGCTGTGGCTCCCTGTTGCTAGTCGGCTCTACAATTGATTGGGCTTTCGGTTAGGACAGGTAGAGGAAAAAGGATGCCGTGCTAGGAGGAGACTCTATGATGGGGGAACCGGACTTCCGGTCGGCTCCAGAAGTGAATGGGGGCTTCCGGTTAGGACCTTTGTGGCTCTTTGAGTGTTTAAGGGTCTCCTGCTTGGGCGGGGGTTGGACTAGATGACCTACAAAGTCCCATCCAACTCTGTTAATCTGTTAATCCCACCATAGCCATGAAAGCCAGCTGGGTGACCTTGGACCAGTCTCTCTCTATTAGACACAACAGCAAAAACTCTCAAGGTTATTGTGGTGGGCATATAGGAGGAGGAAGGTGTGTTCTATGTTTGCCGCTTTGAGTTATTTGTAAAAGTAATAAAGGCAGGATGTAAATAAATGAATAAAAATAAATTAGTTCATTTGCAGTGTTGTCAGTGCTGCGGATAGAGAAGATGATGCAAAAGTTGAAGTGGGTGATTATATGTTTCTCAGTGTGACAGACAACATGGTTAATTCTCCCTGGACTTCCCTCCAGAGGAGAGATGGATATCTTTTTTTTTTTAAAAAAAAAACTTTTTACTTTCTTTACATCCTCTATGACAGGGGTCTGCAACCTTAAACACCCAAAGAGCCATTTGGACCAGTTTCCCACAGAAAAGAAAACACCGGGAGCCACAAAACACTTCGCGTGCCTGACTATTTCTTGAGCAGCCACAAAACTAGCATATGTAGTTGAATTAAGCATTCTGTTTTCTTCTGAAACTTTTCTTTTCTTGGATTTATGCATGGTTGGCCTACTGGAGGTTGAAAAGCTCAATAAATTTCGTGCCAGTGGGTGTTGCACATTGGCAGTTATGACACATATTTTGAATGACAGGGAGCCACAGCAGAGGGGTAAAAGAGCCACATGCGGCTCCAGAGCCGCAGGTTGCTGACCCCTGCTCTATGACATTATGGATCTAAGTGAACTGGGCTGGTGGGCCCTGACTGACGCTGCACAGAATTGTCACTTTATTTTTCATAACTCTTCTCTGAGTGACCATTCTAAATGGATTCCCCTGCACGGAGCAAGTTAATAGAGAACTACAAGAATATGAGCATAGATTTATGATTACAGAGGGATATACTTGCAGGAGCCTGAGTGGCGCAGCAGACTAATGCTACAGTTAAAGGTAGTATTTAGCTTCCAGCTGCCTGCAATTACTGCAA